AATAAGTGCTGAAGCTTTGACGGGCCTGCAGCTGAGTAAGCTCCGAACCATTCTGTATCAATTTCAGCACTTGTTTTCGCAAACGTTACCCTCCTTTCACACTTGGGTTCAATGCGTTTCGTATCGAAATATATGGGCGTTGCTGTTTCCAAAGCACGTTCGTATTGACCCATACGTTCCTCAAAGGAATTGCCCTCCTTAATATCACCATTCTGCTTTCCAGCGTATAATTGCTGATACAAAAGTTGATTGTAATTGTGTTGCGACAGGGTTGATTGAAAGGTTTGACCTTGTAATACGGGTGTTGACATTGGTATACCCGTTGTGGAATCGAGGAAATTACCATACCTTGACATGCTATCTTCCGTAGGGAATATGCGTACAAATCCTCCCCGACGAGCATTCTGGAAACGAGCATTGCGAATTATACGCTGTTCTTCCAGAGTCAAATTTTTACAAGCCGATGCACTGACAGAAGAACGCTTAGCACCTCCCACGCCGCTGGAATTCCTACACAGGTTAAGAGATCGGTTATGAGACATGATTTGACCTTGGCATCCAGCGGACTATCTACACCCATAGACGGTGATAAATTCACCTCCAAAAGCCACGGTTTCAACGTATCATCGATGAGTATATCAAAACCATACAGCTCAAAGCAATTGTTCCCGTTCGGCACAAACATGCGACATGCCGATATAATGGATTGGGCACATGAGAATATCGATTTGATGATTAAATCTTCTATATTGGCCATTAACATATGAGTATCACAACCTTGAGATTTCAAATGCCTCAATAGCGCCGACAAAGTCCATTTGTGGCCCACGTCCTCCTCATGGGCATCACTGGACTTGATGTAGTCGGTGTGGTATTTATTAATACTGTAATTGCACAGATGCATACAAGGGTTCCATAGATTGTCAGCGTCCAAGTCATACTTGACAGTGGCCAACCTAACCAGACCTTCTTCGTATAGATATATTATGAGTGGGTCAAAGGATGTGACCAACACATATACACGCAAATCGCATTTATGACCATCAATACATAATGGATCAGCTACATATTTGGATACTAAAACCTGTTCATCCTGGGGTATTTGGTCGGGCGAGTTGACAATGAATATGCCACGACCACGGCTGGAGGCGGCCGGTTTTACTATCCACGGACCGCGACACTTGTTGTGAGCCGTCACCAGATCCTTATACTCCAAAGGCAATAAGAATGATTGTGGCACTATATCAAAGTGTTTCATGCCTCGCAGATGTTGCATACGTTCGATGTTCTTGTAGAGACGATCTTTGCGTGTCAGCTCGTACGAACGTGGGAAATGATTGACCCTTTGATATGGGGATAGATTTCTTAACATATCAGGTTTCATGTGTATTCCAGTCCATAGAATGCTAAATGAGTCGTCGTCCTCAGCTTCGGTAAGGCCATGTCTAGCGAATATTTTACGCAGTAACTTTGTTTCGGTTTGAAGAAATTTATAGGTCATCTTGAGGTTTGTGGCAGGCATATCCAGGGCGGCAGGAGTGTGATCGACCTCACCATCGTTATCGTGCTCATGTTCCTGTTCGTTATCATTGTCAAGTTCGGTTTCCGTCGTTTGGGGGACATTCTTTCGCGGTCTGTCATCAAAAGACCTCTTACCCGACACCTCCTTTTCATTGTCTTCCGAATCATTGCCATCACTGGATATGGAATTATCACTAGATGACATAGAATCCCATAATTTTTTGTCTAAGTGCTTTGGTATTGAGACAACACATCGTTTCTGTTTGCTAATTGGGGAGCTACGATTGCTTGATCCGATTCTTCGTTGTTGTAATTCGTTAGAATTGTTACGTTCGACCTTGCCACTGCTGGAGCTAAGGCTAGATGTGGATTTGCTTTTGGCGTTTTCTTTCCTCAATGTTGTTACATTCTTTTCCGGCGATGTTTCCCGTTCCTCTTCGTCCCCTTTAACACATACTCCGCTCGAACTAGAACGACTTACATGTTGTTGCTGTGGTCGGGAATTTAAAACCGTTGTTCGAAACACCAGAACGGCATCTTTCGAACCCAATCCGCCACTAGTAATCCATTCGTCGTCGGCTGGCTTTTCGAAACGTCGATTGCCTGCCGTAGTGGTTCCATTGTTGTTGGGACGGGCATCAGTTGTGGGCATAATGAATTTTCCAGCACTCTTGAGGCTGACAGCTCACTGGTACATTGCTCGGACGAACAACAACTTCGGACGTATTGCGTAATTTCTACACCACTTCGGTTAACTCTTTACTGACCGAACTGACTTCCGTTTAATAATTTCAGTTAATGATTCATCCAATGATTCCAGCAAGTCGATGACAACATATATTCTTCCTCTGTCGCCTAGTCGCCTTGACATGTTCTGTAATAGCCTTAGGGGTGTGGGTATGAAATCGTCGTCATTGCCCTTGTCGCCTCGTTCGTTTGCTGCTGCTGCCTCTTCTACTTCTGAAATTAATTTGATCACAGAAATGGAATTTTGATTGTAGTTCGCAGTAAAAAAAATAATTTTTGATAAAAATTAATAACGCGAATTCGTGATGGCCAAACGGTTTAATAATATTTTCGAAGGAAAAAAACTATCACATAAAATTTTCGTTATATTTCCTTGTGGCAAAACACAACGCGGCGCACCACAGCAAGCTCAAAGGGAATATAAAACAGAAAAATTAAAAAAATCACAAACAATTTTGAGGGTTGCTCGCTCGTCGTCAGTTGTGGTGTTGTTTCCGAAGCTAATAAAATATTCCTACTGACTGCCGCCTGTCGCCTGAGTACAATGGCTAGAAGAAATCCATGTCCTTAAAATAGCAGGTTCACATTTCTCGCGTGCGCACAACTCTTCATACATTCTCTTGGTGTGTCTATGTTTAGCTCTTATACTCGAACCAACCAACCAAGTGCAGTACAACTTCCGAAGTTTGAGTGGAAATTCTGTTATCATTCAGTCCGTTAGTTGGTTCACCATGCGTCGTCAGTTGCATTGTTTACATTATAGTTAGCTAATGGTGGTGGGTTATGATGTCTAAGGGATGGGGGGAGTCTACAGACAAGAGAGTGTGGTGCGGCGGATATAGATGTCAATGTTATTTTCCAATAACACAAACAAATAGTAGCTGCTATATGATTTTTCTTCTTCTGTTTCATTTTGAGCAGAGCATTTAGTGAACGTGTAAACAAATCGATTAAGGTTGGGTTGCTGTGACTGTTTGTCTGTCTGTCGTTCCCTCGGTCGATTTGTCTGTGTGATGATGCGAGCGTGTGTGCTTAGCTTTTTGGGATTTTTGCTTCTTAGTCACGTCCAATTGGAGAAAATCTATCAGATGCTGTTAATAGTTGTATGCTTATCGGCAATAACGCAGACCTCTCTAATGGCAATGACTAGGCGCTTCACAACAAAAGTGACCAGAATCTGCGAACCGCATATGCAAATTCGAAAGTATTTCAATTGATTTGTATTTTCAAAGGTATTTTTGTTGAATATTGAACTATGCACAGTGGTACAGAATTATTGTATATGTGTTTTTTTGTGGATACAATTATTTTAGTATCCTCCGAAACGAATATAGTATATGTGTTATAGTTTCGAATAAGCAGAAATCTTAGATAATGATGACATTAACATCTACCCTATAACATATTAACCGATTCTAAGCGAATTTTTATATTTAGAAGCAAAAACTTATTCCCGCTAACATGACACCGTTTTTTAACTTTGAAACTATTTTCTGCTCAAAATGGAAATTATAAAAAAAAAAAACCTTTGCCTTTTAGTTTATAGTCTGATGAGTAACACTTCCTATTATTTACATTAAATGACACAAAAACAATTCGCCGAGGAATAAAAACGGAACGTAAAGACAACAATTATTTTTAAAAAATAAAATAGAACTTGTACCGTATGTTCCGATGACTGTTAAGGCAATAACGCAGACCGGAATGCGTTCGTAAAAAGTATAGTCGAATAGCCAATTTGACTAGTGGTTTTTGGAACACCTTTCACGTATGAGACACAAAATATAAATAAAACCGAAACTCATACCTCTATAGCAGCTACCGAATGAAGAACTAAACAATCAACTGGATGTACAAACATTAAAAAAATGACAACAACAATAGTACAATAAATATAATATATTCATATATTGACATGAATTCGTATGTTTAGTTATTAAAAAGAAGAATTTTCGTTTTACTTATTTGTGGACACCCTTTTTTGTTTGTATGTTGCTTTTATTTGTTTAAAAAGTTTTATTGTTATGGGAAATACAGTGGCACACAAATATAAAATATGAAGGTGTGTGGTGTTTGTTGAGAGTACCGCATTTGATATTAGGATAGGTACACTAAGTTACATAATTAAACAAGTAAGTGTAAGCGTACCAACATCGAAGTCATTACCAAGGAATAAATAAAAATGGCAGTAAACCTATTTGAATTGAGCAAGGTGCAAATAAATTTCCCCGACATAACCATAGCATTTGATATGGATTGCGATGAATTTGTCAATTTTTCTAAATTTCCATGTCGAATTAGGATAAGATTTTCACAGAGACACATCTGTAGTCAGACTAGTATAAATTGAGTGACTAATCGAACAGCTAATAATAGGTTCGTTCGTTTACTCAATAATTTGTACGAATTTGTACAAATTATTACAAAATGTTGTTCGTTTACCCAAAAGTCCAGTAAAAGAGAGTGAATTGAGAGAGCAGATTTGACAGTTGTGTTACTGAGTATTTGCAAATTCTTACAAGGAAAATTTACTCAGTAAGAATTTTCTTGTACCATCAGCTGATATTTAATCAGCTGTTTTGAAAAAAACAAAAAATTGTTCTCAAGAAAATTGATTGTTTTGTGAATTTTATTTTGATTTTCTATCATTAAATACTAAAATGGATGAAGAAAACGCAAGTATTTAAAAATAAGGTAATACAAGAGTAATTGGCGAACGATTTTTTAGGTTCCAAATTCAAACAAAAAAGTGTGCACCCCTAACATGTCTGGAACACCATCGGTTATGTCCACCCCCATATCAATTGCAGATACAGGAATAACAGGTCACAACCCTTTTAAATGTTTGTGGGGAACAAACAACATAAATTGTCCGCTTGTTATCCATTTTTCTAATAAAAATGCTGTTTTTTAGTTTGCGCCAATTTGTTTGTTGTTTTAATCAGCTGTGTCGAAACAATCTTTTTATTGGATGTTGTTCGTTTACTTTTTGCAGTTTTCTCTCTTGAAAAGGAAAAATTTGTATTTACTCTCTGCAAATTCTTACTGAGTAAATATTACTGGGAAAGTAAACGAACGAACCTAATATTGATGGTTCAGATCTGTATACTGAAATTTCCTGTACATAGATTGGAGTTTGTTTAGGCTATCAATTCCGATTGGTTAACTTGTGTCGTATTAAAAGATTTGGTTGGAAGTTTCTTAAATCTTACGTGCCATGCTAAGTACATTTTTGCTTATAACTTTGGTTTGGATTGGCCGATGATTACCAAAATTTCAGAGAATTTAAATTAAGGACCGTAGTGTCTAAAAACGTAAAGAACTTTAAAACATGCTAAGTCGACTTAGAATACAATGGTTCGGAGGCGTCGATATAATAGATGCATACATATCGTTTACTTAACAATAGGTTCGTTCATTTACTCAATAACACTGTGATACAAAACAAAACAAAAAAATTTTTCAGGGGTTCTAATGTACCAATTCCGTTTAGTTGGAGTCCCTGGACTACGAATATACCTTTGGTTTTTCTGGGTCACTTCGAAAATTAGTTTTATAACGGTAAATGTATATAAAAACGTGGTTTCATAGATTTTCAACTTGAAATGCGTATAACTTATTTTCTTTCTAACGGATTTATATTATTCTTTTTTTCGTTGAAAGAGTAGAATTTTTTCATTGCATTACTTGGCTGAGTTACAGTGGTTGAAATGTGAAAAATACGCATAAAATGACAAAATTTATTTTTCTTCGGATTGTACGAAGAAATTATGACATCAAGCCGTATAAGTTTTATTACATTACGGGGAAGAAAATAAAATAAGCTTTCGAAAATGAGAAAAATAAAAAAATCGGTTAAAATGCATGACTTATACACATTTTTGTATTGATTCAATGCATATTCTCTAAAGGAACTATGGGTCTATCTCGCTTCCTCGTTTTCACATTATGTTTGTAACAGACAAAGGAAAATGAGTTAGACCCATATTTCATTTAGAGAATATGCATAGAATCAATACAAAAATGTGCATAAGTCGTCCATTTTTTAACCGATTTTTTCGATTTTTCTCATTTTCGAAAGCTTATTTAATTGTCTTCCCCGTAATATAATAAAACTTATACGGCTTGATGTCATAATTTCTTCGTACAGTCCGAAGAAAAATAAATTTTATCATTTTATGCGTATTTTTTCACATTTCAACCACTGTAACTCAGCCAAGTAATGCAAAGTAAGTAATGCAAAGTTTCATTAAATTAGGAACTAATGGAAGACAATTCGTAAGTAATGCAAGTAATTCAAAAGGACAATGTATTGATGCAGGAAGCTTAAATGTTCCTGGGGAACATACCAAATCAAATTGTCTTTTGTTGTTCATTTTATTTTTAATATTAAATGCAATACAAATAACTGTGTTTGTTTCTTTATTTTGGCGCAAATAAAAATGTTTCCTTGAATCAGCTGTTTATGTGCTGAATCTTACTAAATGTTGTCTGTTTACTTTTCTCAGTATTATCGCAAAAGAGAGTAAAAACGGCTTACTCTCTGAACTAGAACTTACTGAATAAATGTTACTAGAAAAGTAACCAGACACGCCTATTATTTGTATTGCATTTAATATAATATTTAATATTCCCCATGAACTGAGTAAATGTTACTGAAAAGATAACCAGACACACCTATTGATTTGTTTATTTTGATTTTATATCATTAAACATAAAATGGACAAAGAAAACGAAAGTACAAATAAAAATAAATAATATAAACGATTTTCTCGATATTCAAAACGATATTCAAATTTCTAATAAAAAATTACCTTTTGTTGTAATAAACTGTATCGACACAACTTTTTTACTCGATGTTGTTTGTTTACTTTTGCAATATTCTCTATTCTTTCTCTTTCTTTACCCTTCACCATAGTATGGAGGGTATATTAATTTTGTTTGTTTTTACTCTCAGTAAAATCTTACAGAGTAAATGTTACTGGAAAAGTAAACGAACATACCTAATAT